GAAATCAGATCTTCAGTGAAAAATAAGCTCAAGAGGTTGTCACAGTCGAGCGGGCTATCATTCCTATTAATAACGACCGAAACCAAGATCAAATCCTACACACTATAAATATATTAAGGTTAGTTTTTCATACCAAACTATAAAATACGAACTATTTAATGGAGTATATAGTATAATCACTCTCCGTTACTGCTCCGAAAATGACAGCAAATCTAAGCAATACCATGAATTGGGATTATTGTGTTCTATTGCATGTTGAATATTACATACGATCTATTTTTGCGACTAACAAATCAAAGGTTGAACAGTGAATGGATTAAGGGATAAAAGATTACCAGGTACTCTTTTTTTCGAAATTGGTTAGTGATATTTAAAGATCTCATTTGTGTTAATCTTTAAATTTCTTTGAAATTTAATTTGTGATGAATCTTTGAATGTAACTCTATTTAGTGTGAGTAGTACAGGTGTACAACGACATGAAATATAGCCATATCAGCAGCGATATCATGAACACTTTACAACGTATTTCTTTGTTCCTCAAAAATATAAAATGCATTTCTCAAAGTACTTAATTCTGTTATGTACTATTTTGAACAAGATTAACAAACAATATACACCCAAACAACCCAAGACGAAGGACTAAAATCAAAAATTAGTGAATAAAGAAAACCATCCGTCAGAAAATAAAGAATGAAAATCAAGAAGTCTATTAAAAGTTTACTTTTGTGTTTTTCATGGGGAAATCGCCCGAAATTCTCCCTGTTTGTCATTTTAAGTTCGTAATCTCGTCATATACCCACTTTTCCGCTAAAATATAGACCATTTGTTCCTTTTTTACATTGAGAGAAACCTTACTCCAACATTTAATAAAATTTTCACTATGTAATAAGGTCAAGTCAATCAAATTAAACCCCATTATTTTTAGTTCAGTATGAAACAGTGGTGTCCGTACCTTCGACTGGCACATTCAAGATAAGATAAGACGCCCAGAGAGGGATACTAGAAATGGAATAACGTAGGCTTCAGGGCTCCCGTCCTTACTTCACAAATCTGAGTCTCACATATATTACAACAAATGTTCCATATACGTCATCAGTCTTCACAAAACTTAGAGCCAGTTCTCAAGTCTTAATTACTTATTAACTATGAAATTGACAACTGGATCACTGTATTTCTATGTAAATTAAAAGTCTTTTGTTTGAACCGCTGAAGACTGTTTGAAAAATTGACTTACCAGACATTCTCGAAATAATAACGTTTGTGGATTGAAAGTATTATTTGAAGAAACAATGACTATCTTTCATCAAAGTACTGTCTTCTCAAGTGAAAACCACCCTTTTATATAGTGGCGAGTGTTCAACCCGAAATCTAATTAGCTAGTTTGTCTGCTCGACAAATAATTTACGTACGTCTTATGTTATTTTCAGCTTGCTAACAAGAAGTACGTCATTGTTGACGTCCTCAGCAAAAAGCAACTGATGATAGCATCCAAGGAGTGGATAGTATGCATGACATCGCGACACAAGGTTACTTCCACGATATCCGAGACAAGATGATAAAGCGTAATAGAAGAAAACAAGACCAGGTATGTACTAATTTAAAGTGATAACCTCCCTACGGCTTTATAGTTACAGTCAACAATACTAACGAACATAACCGTAAGTTCAGCTTCAAGTATTTGGCTGTGCCAAATCATGTAATTGAGATATGGTTATGACTTTTTTTCTTTTTTGTTTATTCAGAATTCACAGGACGACTACCTCAATTCTCAACAGTCCGTGCAATTGTTTTGATGTTCTACCTCGATTTCAATAAACATTATTCTTTCAAACAGCTTACTCTTCTACTTACATGGGAAACTGTTGAAGTGTTAAGAATGTGTGTTTGAGTGTCATTGAACTTTTGATTAAATGCGCATTCCTTATAAATAAAACATAACCTGTTCCTTCTTTTTCAGATTATTTCAAATAACGATGAATTAGCAATTGCATTGGATATGCAAAACAATCGATGCTTAAGCTTCTGCTCTAGTGTTGTACAATAATACGCTTTTCCTTTTAAATAAAATTTTTAAAAGATTTACCGCTTTTCCACTGCATTGCAGATATATTTTGGTATGTTGTTGAAAATAAAGGCGAACATAGGAGACTTTGGGGTTCTGTCGATGGATGGAAAATAGGAGGTAATGTGTGTATTTAGGCGAAAAGTAGACGATTAAGCGCATAAGTTGGCAATTCCGCGGAAATTTAGGCGAAAATTCGGCGGATATTTAGGCGAAAAGTAGACAATTCAGCGGATATTTAGGCTGAGAACTGGGAAATTGACTCAAAGGCATCAGTACAAGAGGCATGGACTCTATTCAGGCAGTTATACAATCGGGTAACTCAACCATACATACCCTGGACTGTCCCAAAGAAAAAGAAGCACGGACATCCCTGGATAGGGCGGGATATTCGACGCTTACTAAGACAAAAGAAGAAATGCTGGGATGTTGCCATCCGCCTTGGCACAGCGGGTACGATGGAACGCTACAGATCGATAAGAAACGAGTGTATAACTAAAATTCGGGAAGCGCAAAGAAAATATGAAATGCAGCTGGCAGAATCTGCACTCAAGCAGCCCAAGAGGATATTCTCGTACATAAACTACAGAACAAGGATTCATCATTGGATTCCCAACCTAATTAAAGTAGGAAGTGAATCTGAAATGATAGAGGAAGATCAGGAAAAAGCTGAGGTTATGGCTGACTACTTTGGGGCAGTTTTCACTCAGGAACCTCCTCTAGAGAAAGAACCAGACCCAATTACAGAGTCAACAAACCAGCTGCTCACCGTGGACTTCGACCAAAACGATGTGCTTAAGGCTCTTAGCACCCTAAACATGGAGAAGTCAACAGGACCAGATGAACTACACCCTAAAATCTTGAGACATATTGCCCAATATATCGCAGCCCCACTGACTGTGATATTCAAAATGTCACTTGACCAAGGTGTGTTACCTATGGACTGGAAGGACGCAATCGTCACTCCCATACATAAAACAGATCTACGACAAGTTCCATCAAATTACAGACCCGTAAGCCTCACCAGTGTTGTAATTAAAATACTGGAAAGAATAATCAAACGGACCATAACAGCATTTATGGAAACCAATAACTTGCTGAACATGGCACAACATGGTTTTAGAAAGGGTCTATCCTGTACAACGAACCTCCTTATAGCTAGGGAGCTCTGGATTAATGCGCTGGACAATGGATACTCAGTAGATGTTGTCTACATAGACTTCAGTATAGCTTCTGACAAGGTGCCAACTAATAGACTGCTATTAAAGTTAGGAAATCTCGGTATTGTTGGACATCTTTTAAAATGGCTTAAGGATTTCCTAGTAGGTCTTAGACAGAAAGTAAGAATAGATTCCAAGTGCTCCATTTGGAACCCAGTGCCTAGTGGAGTACCTCAAGGTTCCGTCCTGGGTCCTTTACTTTTTATACTGTATGTAAATGATCTCCTAATTTTAGTGCAGTCCCCAATGTCATTATACGCTGACGATGTGAAAATCTGGTGAGTAATAACTGGAGACAAAGACGCATGCGCTCTTCAGGCAGACTTAAATGATATGATTAACTGGTCTGAAGAGTGGCTGATGCCTATCGACGCGGCAAAGTGTGTCTACATGCACTTGGGGGATTCAAAGGTTAATAGGTTCAGCATAGGATAAGCGCCAGTACCCGTGATCCGGTCTCATAAGGATCTAGGGGTGACAGTGAGTCATGATCTTAAGACGACGGCCCATTGTCGGGAGGTCGTAGCTAAGGGGTTTAGAAACGTCTGGGCTTTAAAAAGGACATTCACTAAGATACTCCCATGTTCATCGCAGTATACACAACCTTAGTGAGAATTAAGCTTGAAAACTGCGTTCAGGATGCAAGCCCCTGTTTAAAAGGTGACTCTGATATCCTAGAAAAAGTACAGAGGGCAGCTACCTGTGAAATTCCAGAACTCTGGGGTTTACCATACAAAGAGCGGCTTGAAAAGCTGGTCCTCATTACCTTGTCCTATCGCAGATTAAGGGGAGATCTGATTTTAATGTACAGAATAATGAGAAATGATTATGGACCTAACTTATTCTGTCTTTTTCTTCCCATTAGATCGGGACGTCTCAGAGGACATAGCAGGCGAGTAGAAAAGCCAAGAACGAACAAAATTCCCGTGGCAAACAGGTTTTCACACCGAGTCATCAATACTTGGAACCTGCTGCCCGAAGCAGTGGTGTCCGCCCCTTCAATTGACTTTCAAGAGAAGACTGGACACTCACAGAAGCATACTAGATAAGGAATAACATAGGCCGCGGGCCTTTTGTCCTTACTACACAAATCTGAAATCTGAAAATTCGCAAATTCGGCGGATATTTAGGCGAAAATGCGACAATTAGGCGGATATTTAGGCGAAAGAGCGACAATTCGGCGGATATTTAGGTAAAAATTCGCAAACTCAGCGGATATTTAGGCGAAAATGAGACAATTCAGCGGATATTAAGGCGAAAAATCGACAATTCGGCGGATATTTAGGCGATAAGTCGGTAATTTGTCGACAAAAAGGCGAAAAAGGGGAAATCCGCATTATTTCACCCGGACAGGCGAAAAAGGCGACATTCTGGCGCGTTTTCCCCTTTATTTCCCCTTTCGCTACCAAAGCATTTACCCCTTTATTTCCCTTTGTTCGCCTTTATTTCCCCTTTTTGTGTTGCTTGAGAGTATAATCACTCTCCGTTACTACCTCGAGAATGACAGCAAATCTAAGCAATACCATGATCTATTTTTGCGACTACCAAATAAAAAGCTGAACACCGAAAATATTAAGGAACACGCCGATCAGTGTCAAGTGAAACCTGCTCATCCGAATTTATATTAGGAATAATTTTTTCGTCAAGTCAGGATAAGCCTTGTCTCTCCATTTGCGACCAAACACGAGACAAATAGTATTTATACAAATTACACTCACTAAACTGATGTATAGAGCAACAAGCGGGGCAAATTGTAACTTAGATACATGGATCAATATCCAATAAACAATATATTTGCTTCTACAGTTCCAGATAAAAGATTATGTAAAGAATGCGCAATGTGCTTTTGCTTACTAATTATCAGAACAAAAATTATTAGATGAAGGCTAGAAGGATGAAATATGCACTGAAAAACAATTTAAAGTTTCTTGGACGAACTAAGTGTCAGAGCTCGATTTGAAGGAACATTTTCTGTAACACAGAAAACTAATATGTAATACTCGCTTGTCTTACTTTTTGTTTAAGCTGTGATGCGTTATATGTGACATTTTCGATGGAAACCTATACTTGATTTTATAGGCTTCAGATTTTCATGTCATTCTACTGGATTTTTGTACTCTTTAGATGTTCCATCGATGTACGCTTCTAGTTCCATTATCATGCAAATTAGAATGATCGGATGACGTCAGATACAGATGTTTTAATGACTGGGATTAACACACCTTCAACGAAACCGTATAGAATTGAAGAGAAAGGACAATCGTATGAAACAACGTAATTAGGTGGAATATGAGGATTTCTACTGTCGTTGAGAATGTTTTGATGCACAACTACACTACATGGGCAAGAAATATCTCACTGCTGAGCTGCATACAATAAAGGATCAAATCTGAGATTTTTCGGAATTCAAGAGGCTGATGCCCTTTCTAACAACCGGAGCAACAATTTTCATAGGTACATGGAACGTCTGAACAATGTGAGAGACTGGGAAGACCAGTCAAAAAACAACGGAAATGAGGAGATACAACCTGTCAGTACTGGAAATCAGCGATACTCACTTAACTCAAGCTGGACAGCAAAGGCTAGATACGGAAGAAATGCTGCTATACCCCGATCACGAAGAGGAAAATGTTACACGTACTCAAGGAGTTGCTCTAATGCTGTTCAAAGAAGCACGTAATGTGTGTATAGGATGGGAATCTCACGGATCCAGAATCACCAAAGCATCATGCAAAACAAAGAGAGAGGTCATTACGATGAATGTTATCTAGTGATATGCACCCACCAATAATAGTAACGACGACAATAAAGATCAGTTCTATGGGAGGCTGCAATCAACCATAACGAAGTGCTTAAGAAAAGAACCGACTATCCTGACGAGAGACCTAAACACCAAGGTCGGAATGGACAACACCGGATATGAAGATATCAAGAGACTACATGGACTGGGAGAGAAAAAAGAAAATGGCGAGAGATTTGCAAACCTATGTCCATTCAACAACTTGGTTATAGGTGGTACATTATTACTACACAAACGCATACGTAAAGCTACATGAGTCTCACAGGATCACACCATAGCGAACTAGATAGATCATATTTGTATCAATAAGAAATTCAGAAGGACAATGAAAGGCGTGAAAACTAGGGGAGGAACTGACATGACTTCAGATTATCACCTGGTTATGTCCAGTATAAAATTTAAGCTAAAGAATCACTGGACAGCTGGGGAAACAGTATTACAAAGGTCCAATACAGCCTTCCTTCTAGATACTAACAAGCTGAAAGAATTCGAGATAACTCTCAACAGCAGGTTCTACTGAAAGAACGTGGAACTACTATGGGGTTGACAAGCAGAAATACGTTGAAAAGCTAGCGACGACTGAGGAAAAAGCTTCAAGAGAAGGAAATATGAGAAAGCTACATGACACAACGAAGAAGCTAGCAAGGAAATTTAGTAAACCAGAAAGACAAAGAAGGCAAGACAATCACCGAGGTTGAAGAACAGAGGAACAGATGGGTCGAATACTTCGAGGAACTTTTGTACAAACCTTCCCATTGAATTCATTGGACATAAAAGTAGCACCTACAAACCTTTCCATAGATGTCACTCCAACAACGATCGAAGAAATTATGGTCGCCATCAAACAAAAGAAACCGGTAAGCGGCAGGACCTGACAATATACGAGTTCAAGCTCTGAAGTCAGGTATTGAAGTAACTGCAAACATGCCCCATATTTTATTCGGGGAGATTTAGGAGGAAGAACAAATGCCGGCAGACTGCAAAAGATACTTTATCAAGATAAAAAGGAGCTGAGATCTGAGTAAATGTGAGAACTACAGAGACATCACACTACTGTCAGTACCAGGAAACGTTTTCAACACTGTTGCTGAACCGAATGAAAGACTCAATAGATGCCCAACTTTGAGATCAACAAGCTGGATTCCATAAGGGTCGGTCATGCTCAGATCAACACTACGGATTATCGTTGAACAATCAGTTGGTTGGAACTCGTTACTATACATCAACCTCCTCGACTATGAGACGGCATTTGACAGTGTGGATAGGCGGACCCTACGGAAACTTCTTCGGCACTATGGAGAGCCTGAGAGATCGTCGACATCATACGGAATTCCTACGACGGACTACAGTGCAAAGTGGTGCATGGAGGACAGCTGACAGATGAAATCCAAGTGGGGATCGCAGTCAGACAAGGCTGCTCATTCTATCCTTCCTCCTTATTCTGATGGTCGACCGGATTATGAAGACCTAGATATCTGAGGGGAAGCACGGAATACGACAAACAGCTGGAGATCAATTAGAAAATTTGAAATTCGCAGATAACCTGGCCCTTCTATCTCATACACACGAACAAATGCAAGTGAAGGCAACTAGAGTAGAAACAGCCTCTGCATCAGTAGGCCTCAACATACACAAGGGGAAACGCAAGATCCCTAAATACAAACAACGAACACCAACCCAATCACACTTAATGGGGAAGCTCTGAAATAAGTTGAAACTTTCACGTTCCTGGTCAGCATCATCGATGAAGGTGGAGGATTTGATGCGGACGTAAAGCCAAGGACATCATTACTAAGATTGAAGGATATATTGGACTCAAAACAACTGTTAGCCACAATCAAAGTCAGAATCTTTAATACGAACGTAAAGAAAGTTTTACTGTACGGAGCTGAAACTTGGAGAACTACAACCATAACCAATAAGGTATAAATACTTCTAAACAATTGTCTATGCAACATACTCAATAATCGTCTACCGGAAACCATCATCGACAGCCTACCGTGGAAAACAACAAACCAGACTCCAGCTGCAGAGGAAATTAGGAAAAGATGTTGGAAGTGGATACGACCTACATTACGGAAATCACCAGACTGCATTACGAGGAAAGCCATAACTTAGAATCCTGAAGGGAAGCAGAAAAGAGGAAGACCGAAGAACACACTACGTCGGGAAATGGAAGCAGATATGAGAAGGATTAACAGCAAGTGGAAAGGACAGCCCACGACAGAGTTGGGTGGAGAGTGCTGATGGGCGGCCTATGCTCCTCCGCGACGGGTAACAGGTGTAAGGAACAGGGACTTAAACCGTGATATCAAGAGACATATAAGAGCCAACCCTAGCATGCAAAAAAGGTGTAACAGACCTAAGTAAGCACGTATATACCAGCTTATGCAACATAACAAACGCAAAATAATTTTGTCCGCTACGAAAAACACTTCGAACCTTTATATTTATAAATAAAACAGACCAAACTTAATTAATAAAGCTTAAGTAGAAGATATTAAAGAGGTAACGTTAGCTTCAATGAGAAAAAACACAAGTCTTATTCAAGACGATTTTTCATATTGAAGAGTTATATTAACCGAATGAATTCAACTACATTGAACTCATAAAGATCTGTCAATTTGAGTACTAAGAAAATAGATTGGAAACACAGATACACATAAATTTTAGAGAAGATTTAGGAACATTCATCATCTGCAAATTGTTATTGTCCGGATGGTATAGTTGAAATATAAAGGACCAATAAAGAAGCCAAACTCCGAAGACTAGATGTTACAGCAACCCACGTTTTAGACGACTGATAAGATGAACCATTTTCAAAGCCGGACCCAATTTAATCTTCATATAATTACGCAGTGATTCCATGCTAAGAAGAAGAAGCGCTTGGCCATCTATTTCCTGTAACAAAAGAGTTATAATACATCCACTTACTATTTTTGAAATCTTCGTACACATAATACAATATCAAATTTATGGATGCATTGACCACACAGTATATTTGCAGAAAGATACAAACTTTACAATGGAAAAAAGGTACGAATACTTAATGTATAACTATAGAAAACCATCATAAGTGTTCGTTTAACGACTCAAGAGCTAATGATGTGCCTTCACTAGACAAGTAAAGCCTGAGGGTTCTGACCGACTTTAGCTAATTTTATTTAGAAAGGCGAATAGTGCCGTTAATGCTCACAATATATATACTAATGCTTACTACCTATAAATCGACATACGGTAGCAAGTTCTACGTACATCATAATGTAATGTGGTATGGCAACTTAAACCGATATACTCGTATGTCAGGTTCTACCTTTCGTATAGCTGAATGACTGGTATTACAACTACTGAAATTAGATCAAATAAAGCACTACAAGGCTGAGCCGTGTCATGCGCTGAACTGAATTCCGAATGAATGTTTCTGCGTTCACTATTATTGACAGAATGTTGTGTTACATGTTGGAAGTTTATTTTCCCAGTTATCTCATTTCGGCCTACAGGCTTTTGGTTAGGATCTATAGACGTTGCAGATGCGCTAAACAAAGTTGATGTGAGGATTTGAGTGAGTTGGTTTTCGGCATATGGTTAGATTTAGAGCCCTCGTTAAATTTCTTTTAACTATTGGTTTTCATCACTACCTTTGAAGTAGATTCTTCTTTACTTTTTACTTCAGGGTGACTCAAGAGTCAGGTGAGTAAACACCTGAGCATGGAAGGATCTTACCTCATCAAAATGGTGTTGGGTAGCCTGCTCGCGGCACTTCCTCTGCTATTCCTGTTTCATTTTCTCACACTTCTTTTCTTGTGAACACGTAGAACACCGTCAGCGGGCGTTGTAGAAGAAATTACATGCTACAAAATAAGCTGACAGGCTAGCAAATGAAGAGACATCCATAGACTATCGTTGATTGCTGATGGAGTTGGTCGTCACTGATTGGGAGTCAAACAGTGAGCGAGTTAATAATTCTCTTTTGGGCTGCGGAAATGGAACTAAGTTTGTTTTTGATAGATAGGTTAATCGGACCGACTATGCTAAGGAAGTCGATTC